ACCCCTCGACAATATGCGTTTTTGCATTGCATAGATGCAAAAAACGCATAAAAATGGGTAACATAACACTGCTATACTTCAAAAATGTTTAAGAAAAAACTGACTTCTAGCTTGTGCTTGAAAGTTGCTGGATCATAAGTAAGGATATATGATTCCAGCGTCCTTCTCCTTGATGCCTCTTTTTCTCGGCGTATCCGCTGTGCCTGCAATCCATGCAATGTCATTACTTTTTGTTACCCCAGAACTTTAAATGAACACAAGAATATTAAAGTTAACTGATAAGATTACTGCTACGCCTCAAAAAACCAAGTATATTCACCTGTAAAATATAATATAAAAATTATATAATACTTAAATATAATATAAAAATTATCTTAATATAAAAATTATATAATAGTTTTTTTTCTTTGTTCTTTTCTCCCTTTTGCCCTGTAAGTCATAACGCAATTTGCATTTTTTCATGTTTAGAGTTTTCTACATTTTCGTCCTTCCTCTTTTTTTTACACCCTTAAAAACCTAATTCTACATCCGTCCCCTTTGTCCCATTTTGCTCCTGTTTTGGAATGCGTTTGCATTCCCAGCCATTTTACTTTCTTATTTTTCTTTTCATTCCTTTTTTTTTAACCCCCTTAAAAACCCTCATTTTCATTTTTCCTATTCACATTTCACTTTACCTTAATTATCATTTTCACATTTTCAACCCCTCCAGAAAACTATCACATCCTCTTTTGGGGCGGTTCCTACACCCTTTATAAACCTCCCCACCATTCTTCGAGGCTCTCAGTCTTCTTCTTCACCGGGACCACGGCACCAAATTTCCTCGACGCACTCAACAAGGAATCGACCTCTTCTCATATACTCCTGGCCCTCATCAACCATGCTCTGTCATAACGACTCTTGCTCGGCAACCTCACAGACTCGACAGATTATAAGCGCCACATTTCGTGCTGTTTATTTGCTTTTTGCACGATTTATTATCAGTAAATCATAAACTTGATTTTGCTTCTCTACAGTGCGCGTACGCTCAGAGCACCACGCCACACAGCGATCCACACACGTACACTTATTCAATAAAAATTTTTACTCACCTTTTCTTAATCGTTTTAAAGTTAACTAATGGTCTGCATGGCACTGTCCTTAAAATTTTCTTTTGCAATATTATTTAACAATTTATGGCACTCTTTGTAGAGAAAGGGACCAAATTCTGATTTCCTTGTTCTAATATTTCTCGCAAAAATGAAAACTCATTTAGATTTCGAAGTTTATCTACATTCACGACCCCTTTCAAGCCACAGACGGTTTACCGCATTTCTAGATTCAATTATTTCCAGCACTGCTCATGCAAGTAGCAAAGCAGGCACGGATTCGTCTCCGTCTCTAAGCATATCATATTTTTGGAATCAAAGACGATGACAAGTCTGGCAAATTCAAACACAGAAGCTCATCTCTGGCTATAGATGGTTTTGTGAATTTCACTCCTGAAGTAACTTATCACTCATCCTTCACACTTTCATTCGGCTCACTGCTGAGCCTTGAGTCTCCCTGCCTGAATTTTACGCTCTATCGTATTATTTCTCCTTCTTCATATGAGTACTATTTAATTTCTTAAAAAGCATCTTTCTGGCACGGCTATTAAAGACATGACAATCAAAATGTTTGAATTTTCTTTCTCGCAAAATCCTCAAAATTTTCTTTGACTTGCCAAACAAAAGAATATGGATTCCTATTAAATTTTTGGTAAAACATCAAAATTTAAATTGTAGTCAGCAAGGTGGCAGTGCCCGTGTTACGATAAATTCTCTCCTGTTTTACACCGCTTATCAACTCTTATAAAATGAAAGCAGAAAATCGAATTCAGGGGCACCAACAATACACTGATGTAGAAAAAAGTAAAAGCCAGATTTTGTTCAAAAAAAAAAAAATAACCGGCCAACGAACGAGCCGCCCGCGCGAAGATGCGTTTTTTGCATAGTTCCCCGCCGATTTTTGTCGCTAACAGCACTGTTTTTTTGGCAGATGCTTCTAGCTAAAAGAATTTCAGACTGGCTGCCAGAAATGTCAGGAAACATCCCTTCAAAATCCCAGTCTTCTAGCTTCTCAGGTTCCCGAGTTAGCAGCTTATCCGAAAAAACTTTTCACGGGCCGACACGTAGGTAACACGCTTACCCGCGGGCAAGGTTTGAACTCATTAATATTCACTTGGACAGGGAACATCCCCTGAAGATTTCAGCCTTTTAGCTTTCCAGATTTCCGAGTTAGCGATTTACCCAAAAAAAATTTTGGCGGGCCTGCACGTGGTACCACGCTTACCCGGGGGCTGGGTTTGAGCTCATTAATACCTACCTGGACGGGGAACATCCCCCTAAAATTACAGCCCCCAAGCATTTCTGGTTTCCGACTTAGCAGCTTACCCGTAAAAAACTTTGGCGAGCTCGTACGTGGGTACCACGCGGGTAAGGGCGCCCATTTTGGGGATGGGGACCCGTATGCGCATGTAGATCACGTTCCCGAAATTTCAGCCCCGCAGCTTTTGTACGTCTCGAGATGAAAAATCGGTACAGAAACACACAGACACACACAGGCAACCCTCGTCAATATGCGTTTTCTGCACTGCATAGCTTCAAAAAACGTATAAAAATAGTTAAAATGAAAAAGAAATGGAAACCTCTTCAATGTTGATGCCTTTTTCACGCATTTTTTGAAATGCTCGTTCACGCCTCAGAAGTTTTTTCTTCTGCCCTTTTTCACGATGTTTTTTGGTGGATGCATCATTCGTGCTTTTGTTGCTCGCCTGTTTCTCTGCCGCCTGTGACAGATTGTCTATACCGTCTGTTAACAAATCCTTTTTCTTGATCGCATCCTCAGTTTTCTCGGGCCGTTCCTTTGGTCGAATATCCTTTAGAAGGAAGTCGTTCATGCGACGCAGTACTCGCTTTTGCGATCGTGAGAGATAAAATCTCTGCACATCCAGTCTAAAATAAAAATTTTTCACTTCTGCTAAATTGATTTATATATAAACATATATATTTTCTTTAACAATAATTTCGCTGGAAATTTTATGTGCTCTGAGAACCAAGTCAATTCACTGCAAGGTGTCTTAAAACCAGTCAACTTGCACATGAGCATTTATACAGTGTGTAAGATAAAGTGTTTATGGTAATGATGGCTTCAAGAACGTCGAATACCAAAGTAATTTATGAAATTGCGCCTGTAGCGAAAACGAACTTTTTATGAAAAAATTACCAGAGATTACGAAAAATGTTACAGTAAGCAGGAAGAGGCTTCACGTTTTTTTTCACTCAAAATTCGTTGCAATTCTTGATGATACATTAGACAGTAAGCCATGCAGCTCACGGAATAATCTGGCAATAGCCGGGTTTACTTTCTTTCCCCCCTCCACAAGCAGTAATTCTAATTTGGGCGTAAACGCATAATTCAGCAACACTGCAATAACTCAATTCTTTTGTTAGCAAAAGTGCGAAGTTTGATCAAAGAAGTGAAATTTTTATGACTTAAAAGTAGTCAATTCAGCGTAAAAGCAATAGCGAACAAGGAAATCTTAGGCTAACGAGATAAAGACGAAAATAAAAAGGCCCTGAGTGAAAAGGCGACACTTTAAGTCATAAATATTCTTTGGAAGGCGCCAAATCAGGAATACAATCGCCACTGGCATAGATTGCGCAATTAATTTGGGATCTCGTCTTTGTATTAAAGAACTGGAAAAAGTGATGAAAGTATTCACCGAATTGTGTACTGCGGGCAGCATGTTGTGGCGATCAACGGTTTGTAGAGAAATCGACCAGATCTGCAAAAACATCGCTCATCAGATGTATGACATTAGTTAAAGTATAAAATGATGTTACCTTCTCATGCCTCTATCAAGTAACTGATTATAAGCGGACACCGAAAGCTTATGTCCCCAAATTCCTGAAATTTGCAAAGTGGCTTATTTTTGAA